TGCTGCTGTTTAAGCCCCCCCCCCAAAAAAGTTGGTTAGTTTTGACATCTTGCATCATCCCCCTATAACAGTTTTAAGTACCTGCTCCCCCTTTTTTTCTGCATCCAGTAGGCGCGCTAGTGTTAAAGTCAACTGATTCAACTCTGGCTAAACTCTGGCTAAGATCGTGACACAGTATGAAGTAAAAATTCATAACTACACCACTCTATTTTTCTTGTAGGACAGGAAAGGGGCTTTTACTCTAATCAGTTACATATTTATCTTTCAGCATAGTTTAGAGGCTAGTTCAGATGATGTGCAATAATTGTTCAGAAAAACTATTTAGTTAATGGCTCAAAATTTAAAAAAGTCTTTAATTTTTTTTCAGTTCCTGTGTTTAGGAAAGCCATGGAAAGACCGCCTCTGCTAATTACTGAAGTTCAGCTGTCGCAGCAGCTGGTTTAAAAAGCTTTATTTGCTGTAGTTTCCACAACACATAACTGTTAACTTCTTCAATCATGATCTGACTAAGAGTGCTAGTAACAATAAGTCTATGCAGTCAGAGAAATATTTTTGTATGTTTTATGCAGTTTGATAAATGTTAAAGCACACTAGCTACCTTTTTTTTTTTTTCTTTGAACAATAAACTGTTGGTATGACAACTGAAATTAAGTTAACAGAACTTAGTGCTTTTCCAACGGCTTTTGTTTGCACTACAAACTTCTACTGAACTGACACTGCTACTTTTTACCTCAAGTATCAGTTGTTTCAGGTATGTAGCTTCCCCCCCTTCCCCCCCCTTTTTGGGCAATGTGGGAGTGGATTGCAGTGAAACAGCTAAGCCTCTTAAAATTTTATCGCAACTTGGAAAAAAAAACATTCAGTAGTATATTTTTAAGCACCAAGTAAAATACTGTCAGGGTGCAAAACAGGTATGGAGAACACAGGTGGGAGATGCTTGCTTAAGTAAGGTACCTTGCTTTTTGCACAGTATAGCCAGAAAAATCCAAGGCTTAATCTTGGTCCTGAGCTCTGACGATAACACTTTTCTGACAGATGACTTTACTAGGGAGATGCTCATTGTCGTCAAATCTGAAGGTACTTACTAAAAAGGCACTACCTTTCTGATGTTCTGAAATATAGTACTTTGCATCATGTTTTTATCTCCCACACGCTAGACTCCACTATTAGATGTGTCAAGACACTCTGAATCCTGGCCCAACTCTACTACAAGGCACCCTGTTTGATCGTTCATACCTGTGCACAATAAACAAAAAGGGAAAATGCTGAAGGGAGGGTGCAAACACGATGGAGCCACACTCGTTTCAGCAGTGCCAAGTGATGGGACAAGAAGCAACGGGTACAAACTGAACCACAGGAGGCTCTGTCTGAACATAAAAACTTTTTTACCGTGAGGGTAACAGAGCACTGGCACAGGTTGCCCAGAGACATTGTGGAGTCTCCTTCCTTGGAAGCTATTGAAAAGCTGTCTGGGCAAGGTTCTGGGCAACATGCCTTAGGTGCCCCTGCTTGGAGCAAGGGGGTGGGACTAGATCTCCAGCTGTCCCTTCCAACCTCAACCGTTCTGTGATTTCATAATGGCATAAGCTGTCATAAACATGTGGGGTAAGCAAAACTTTCTGAGCCTTGACAAGCTAATTATTATTGCTATTGCAATGTCTTTGCATGTATGAATTACTTGTAATAGCACATACAATCCATGGACAATTTTAGCCACTGAAGTGGTCTGTTCCGACCATATTTGATTATGTCTCCTACTGATGTTTCAAGAAGAATGGGTTTTGTGTACTGCTGCTATTAGAACATAGAAGCAGGTAAAATTATAACTATCTGCATGAATTTTTCATCTTAGTTTCCTTCTCCTATTCCCCCCCCCCCCCCCCAAAAAAAAAAAAAAAACCACCAAAAACCCCACTCCTTCCACTATGCCCACGAACAGGCATCTGCTTTAGGAAGACAAAAGTCAAAAAGGAAACATAGCTGTCCGCATGCAATTTCTCTCCTAATCAAGAAGGCAGCGCTCTACTTTAGAGGGACCAAGCTGCACCTCTTCTATGAATGCACGTCCCTGAACAGATAACACGCACACCAAAATTAGCACAAGCCCATTGCAATAGTGCTTTGTCCATGTATGACCTCAACTACAGAGGCAGTCAAGTCTTAAATACTAATCTGAAAGATGTCTTGCTACTGTGAATTCAATGCCTTATGGCCACAGCACTGAAGTATACAGTTCACTGTTTTTGCATGCAGACTAGTATACACTGCAGAGAGTTCTCTAGCAAGAACCATCATATTCAGCAAAACTACATTTGCTTGCAGTATAGCTTCACACAAGAGCATAACAGCATGTTTCTTTTCCCTCTTAGATGTTGTAATATGCAAATTGTGCATGCTTAGCTCTTACACACAATTGTTAATAAATACTAGCAGCACCTCTTTTTGATAGTACTGTTATTAAGTTTAATTGGTTTCAAAAGCCTTAGGCTTACATTTTTACTGTGAGATTTCTGTAATTTCTTGTTTGACTGCAGCATAAACTGCACTTTTTAGGGGACGCAGAATCCGACAGTTGCTTAACGGTTGAAAAGCAAGCTTTAAACAATACTAACTGATGACACCAAAAAAAAAAAAAACAACCACAGAAAAACTAAACATCCGAATTAATGGACTACGCTTGAAGACATGAGTAGATTTATTAGGAAAGAAACTTATTTAATATTAAATGTTCAATGACAGAGACAATCAAATTTGTAACAGAAATTCAAAGATACTTTATTTCCATTTGTCATATATCAAGAAGCTAGGAATAAGCCTAGTTGTAAAAATGGGATTCATTTTAGTTTGATTCACACAAATACTAAACATTTATTCTTGTGTTTTAAAGTCCAAGAATGAAAACTTGCAATTAAACACTGAGCAAGCCATGTGTTCAGGTTATGTTGGTTTCTTATCTTAAAAAGTCTTAAAGAAAAAAAAAAGGATACAGGACTTATATTCTCAGTAGCATGTGTGCTATCAACACATCTTTCTGAACTCTGGGAGGAAACACCAGTCCTGAATTACTTTTTATAAAAAAAAATTCTAACTGAACTTTATATGTTTCTACGCCACTACAGCTTTCTTTCACCTCATTTTAAAGCAGATCTTCGTTTTAAGCTGTCTTCCGCTGTCTTCGCAGACTCCTCACGTAGTAGTCCTATAATGCAAAATTTTGGGAAAACACACAATTAGACAACGTAAAGAGCAATTCCTTTACCATTCCTATATATTGGCCCAGTTGTTAGCTGTCATCTTAACTCTACAAAAATGTCAACATCAAACATTACTGGCTTTAGAAGCAATAACGTAGTATAATGGTTTGATGATCAACATTAAGTGTTTAAGAATTCCTAGCATAAGTAATGAACCTATACAAACAGTTTACACTTTGCAAGAAGCTCATTTATCAGCTGTACTCTCCATTGTTAGTTCCTTATTTCAGGAATACAACTAAGTAATTCGTGTAAGAGTAAGAAAGCTAGGTCGAGAGTGAGGGGGGGAAAAAAAAACTTTTAAAACTTTCTTACAAATACTGTATTTGTATTTCCTAATGTTTAGCTTTTTATTTCCAATAAATCATTTTCCAGCATACATTCTTGCCATGAATATTTGGTGGCATCTGCCTTTGTATTTACATTTGCCTTAGAAGTCTGTTATCAGCCATTCCACTTCTCTGTACTATGGCTGACTCCAAGTTCTCCTACACAGTAGGAAATATTAAACACATACCTCTTAAAGACTTGAATTGCATTGAATGTAACAAGGCGATTACTATGTAGTGTTTATTGCATTTTAAACTCTTTAAAGATATCTAATTCTGGGCAGCACTGCATCCCTACATACAGTTGAAAGAAAATTCCATTCTGTTAACATCAGATTTACAGTATTCACACAATACACAAAAAGTCCTTTTCACTATCTTGTAAATCAAAAACACAACAGTAAGCTTAAAGATTACAGGCAACAGCATTCAAACATGGATGTGGGTAGAGAAAGGAGTACCTGGCATGAGTACCTGCTTAGTTTGACTGAATCCTTGATTTTTAATTTGGCTTTTCATGGGCCGCTCACAACACCAACGCTGTGTGAGGTATGGTAGTCAGCTGCAATAATTCATAAACCCTACACTTCCATCAATCCAATGCTACTGGCTCTCGAGTTACAGAACAAACTGCATTAGAATGCAAGGCAATAAAGCAAAAAAACTAGAAACATCCTTGACAAAGAAATACTAGCAGTTTATATAAAAACAAAGTAGTCCAACATGTGCCTCAAATATTAAGTATTAAAGCAAAAGTTTCTGCTGATGTACCAACACAATATGGACTTAAATACAAAAACAGTTCAACTTTTAAAAAAACGATAACAAAATCCCTAAAAATAAAAAAAAGGATAATTAATTTTTCTATGGTGACTATATTACAAATATGTCCCAAAGAGGCACACTAATGGGGGCACGAGTCTGCTACAAAATAGCTGAGACAAAACAATGTACCTCAAAATGTTTTGCAGGACTACACTGTCTTTTCCTTCAGAAGGTGCTTTAGTATGTCTTCTTACTTGGCTTAGTTCCATCTTCATCTGTGCATACTTACGCTGCACTGTTAAACAGTAACAAAAAGCCCTAATCAAAGTTTGAAATAATGCACTTACCTCTGTCTGATCTGAGGTCATATCAGATCAGTTTTAATTGGACTGAGTGTCACCTTCAGATTTAATGTCTTCACTGGTCCCATTGACCTCATTCTTAGTATCACTCTCCTTCGAGTCTGTATTTGTGTCTTCACTCTGTTTTTCTCGACTACTGGACTTCATACTACTTTTTTTATCATCAGAGCCCCTCTTTTCTGCCATGAAAGAAGACATTGACCATGGATTTCAAAGTAAAAACAAACATTGCACACGTGAGATATATAGCATACAAATTGGGACAATTAACTTTCTATAATAATTAGAAATAGTAAGCGTCAAAAGGTTATAGAAATAGGCTTCAGACTACCATGCTGGAATGGGCAAGGTACAAAAATATTCAAGAAGAACAGTACAGGGTAGGGAAAAGGAGAAAGGACAGACCTAACAGCATCAGCTACTCAGCTGTTTGTTGAAATATACAAACGGAGAGGGAAGGCAGTCAAAAACAAGTTAAGCAACTATATAAACGATGCATGGCTACTGGCTTCCTTACTCATCATAGGATTCTTTTTGTCCCCAACTTTATTTTGTGATGTGTATGGCCATCCTTGGTATACAAGTCTCATTAACTAATGGTTCTTCAAAAGATTCAGAAAGGAGTGACCTGACAATGCATCAGTGCACTATCAAATAAATCAGTCTTTGCCAAGTAAAAACAAAAACAAACCAAAAAAAAAAACAAACAAAACAACAACAACAAAAACTCCAACCCCAAACGATCAACTACTCAGGAAACAATATTAACCATAGCTAGCTTTAAAGTTAGGTATCAAGATAACTCAAAATAAACGCTACCGGGACAGAGCATAGCAGAAGCTGTCTGAGGTGCGTGTCTGTCAATATTATTAACTCTCAATTTTATAATTGAGAGTTATAACAATCATAGTCATTTATAATTCACTCAAAAAAAAAAAACAACCAAAAAAAAACTTGGGGAAGAGAGTTTGGAAAATACGTAAAAGCGCTGCTTTCCAAAGGCAGAGGAACAGTAAGACGGGAAGGACCCCCAATTTCATCATGAATTAGAAAGATTTCTGGCGACTGAAGAGTTGGTTACACGGCTGAAAAACTGATCTCTTCCTCAATGATCTTCAAAGAAGGAAGCAAGCCAGAAGTAAAAATATTTCCATGGAGAGGAAAACATTTAGTATTATAGCTGCATGCCTCATCTGTAAATTCAGTAATTGCAAATATAATAAAAACATCAATTCTTCCTATGTTATTTCACACCCCAGTATGCAACCTTTGATCAGCAGAGATCTGGGAGAAGAGAAAAAAAAAAAAAAAAAACAGAACCAAAAAAACCCCAAACCCAAACCC